TGAAAGGGGGTTGCCCATCCAACTGATCGTAATCCTCGTCAGTCTTGTCCTCAACTCCGACGATTTTTCTTTTGCCTGGGAGAACCGCTTGACGCTTAGGCTCATCAGGCCCTCTGCCCTTCTTTCCTTTGCTAGACATGTCCTTCACGAAAAAGACTTGCGTTACATCATTGGCAAGGACAAAAGGTTCGTCCGAGTATCCAACCTTGTTAAGGTCAACAGTTGTCATCCCACTGTCATCAATCATTACGCCTCCACCAGTCAACCTAACCCATTGGCACCGGAACAGAGGAACCTTAAGAGGACCATAGTCAAGTTCCCATATGTCCTCGATGGCACCGTAATATGTGGCAGTTGTTCCATCGTGTCCCATGGCATCGACACGAACAGCGCTGTTTTGGTTCGTGCTCTTCATGTCTTGGGCTCTCGTGTAGAATGTATACCCATTGATCTCATATCCCTGGAATGTCGCGATAGACCCAGACGGTCCCCTCGCCAGGAAGGCAAGTTGTTGGTTGATCGACTCGTTACCCATGAGATGTTGTCGTAGCCACGCGGGGAAAGTATCAATGTGATGCCGTGTAATCCATGCATCGGACTTACCGATGTTCCTGGCGCGAACTAGAGCCAAGTGCTCCTCGATGTAAGGAGCTACCAATGAAGAGTGTTGCAGAACAGTGAAATGGGCTTTACGGAATAAATTGTTGTCTACCGTCATTATTGCTTTCCTTCCGAGAGTTCCCTTTCCCCGTAGTCTCCCTTCATGGCGTGATTCAGGTACCCCGATTGGGCGAAGGTCTTCGATAAATTCTACGCAAAATTCGATGACCTCCTCTGTTCCATAACCCTTGGCGATGCTTGCCTCTGGACGAGCACGGTTACGAACATACTTCTTCAGAACGCCCATGTACCTCTCGAAAGGAAACATGTTGTGTAGGTACATAGGCCCAAGAATACGGATCTCTTTCACAAGGTGACAAAGCAGATGCGTCATTATATTGAAAAATGAAGGTGGAAATATCAACTCAAAACTGACGAGACATTGCACCACTTCATTCTGAAGGGCTTCTAATCTATCCGGATCGATGACCTTCTGCGAAATTGCGTTCATGAATGCACATAGCTTTGTTATTGTTGCCCGGACATTGTCTGGAAGGATACCCCTTATTACAACTGGTAGCAGTTGTGTCATCAACACGTGACAGTCATGAGACTTTAGGTTTATGAACTTCTTCTCCTTCGTGCTTATTATTCGCTTGATATTCGTGGAGTATCCAGACGGTACCTTTATGCTCTCCAAGCATTCAAACATACTTTCCTTCTCTGCCTTGCTAAGAGTGTAGCTGGCTGGACTCAAGTAATGGCTTCCTTTCTCCTTTGGTTCCGGGTGAAGGTCGCCGCGTTGTTCCATATGCTTCAGATCATTACGTGCTTCCAGTGTATCTTTCGACTTTCCGTATACACCTAGGAAGCCAAGAAGGTTTACGCAAAGGTTCTTAGTGAGGTGCATCACGTCGATTGCGTGGCGTACGTCCAAGAATTCCCAATATGGTAACTCCCAAAATATAGAGTTCTTTTTCCACATCGCCGCGTGACCATCTTCGCTCTCTATATGCTGGCTTCCAGGCCCCTTTCCGAACACTACTTTAAGATCTTTAACCATAGCAAACACTGTTTTCCGCTGCGATGTTTAGGATTCGTACAGTGGTCGGCCTTATGTTCGAAGTGCTTGCCTTTCTTCCGTACCGGGTGGTTTGCTGTAAGGAATCGACGATGACCCATGTATACAACCTTCCTACAGTGCTTAAGATACGTACTTTCTGTTTCATCCATACAGTGAGTGCAAGCCTTGTACCCCTTGTTGGACTGTCCGGATAGGTTGCTAAGTGCAGGCCAATCGTTGATGGTTACGAACAGCAGCGCTCGTAGGTTAAACTCCTCCTGTTTGTCCTCGTCCCACACGGGGACACCTTCCTTCTTCCACAACTGTTTAAGATCTTCGACCAGTGGTCTTAGGTACACGTCGATGTCGTTACCAGGTTGCTTGGGGCCTTGAATAATAATCGGCATCATTATGTACTTCCTCTTCATGCATAGCCAGGGGGGGAGGTTGTAGATACACATCGTAACGGGCCAAGTGCTATGGCCGCTGCTCATCTCTCCAAAAGGATTCATGCCATCCGTACTCAAACCAAACCGTATGTTTCGTGCGTCCTTTCCAAATTCTTTAAATTTTCTGTCGATGTTTCGCCACTGCGAACCATCGGCGGGGTGTCTCAGCATCCCGTCCTGTTGACGCTCTTCAGCGTGCCATCGCAACATTCTAGCATTCCCCTTGTTCCTGAACAAACGCCTTAGCCGTGGTATTATAGGAAAATACCACATCACCTTAGCAGGAATTCTCTTCTTTGTTAGCTGCCCGTCAACTTCTCCTGGATCGTCCCGTCTAATCTTGTATCGTAGTGCTTTGCAAACATGGCATGCTTCTAGGTTCTCATACTCCTCACCGCGATATAGGATACAATCGTTCGGACATGCGTGAATCTTATGAACTTCCAGTCCTAACGGGCAGACTATCTTCTTAGCCTCGTACGTTTTCTCGGGCAATTTGTTTCCCCCCGGAAGAATGTTCTTGACGAGTTTCAATAAATCGCCAAATGCCTTGTCACTAACCCCATTTTTTGCCTTCCATTGCAACAACTCCAGAGTGGTATCCAACTTTTTGTGCCCCTGCTCGCAACCTGGGTACAACGAAGTTCTGTGGTCCTCCAACATCTTGTCCAATTTATGGGCCTCCTTTTCACTTTCGCAGTCTTCCCTGGCGTCCTGCAACATCTGACCAAGATCATCCGCAACGTCGTTACCATCAGCAGCTATTTCCTCCTCGCCCGTTTGATTTCCTTCAAATCCAACATACTGAGCAAAGTCCGGAATATTGTCGTCTTCCACTTCATCTTCTTCCATTTCAACACCTTGCTCTCCGTGGGATGTCCAACAATTATAGCTTGGCATGAACCCCGACTCAAACAAGTGGAAATGAATAGTCCTGGATGCAGAATACTCCTTCTGATTCTTACACTTATTGCATGGACAACAAATAAAACCCCTTTGCCTGTTAGCTTCGGCCACTCTCAAAAAATAGTGCACGCCGTCAATAAACTCTTTGGACCGCCGATCAGCGTACATCCATTGCCGATCCATCTACATGAGTCAAAAAAACCGCACACAAATAATTATTCTTACAATAATGACAGTCATACAATAATTATAAGATATCTTTATTCATACAAAAATCATAAAATATTACACCAAATAATTCTTAAAAACTATTTGTAAAGTTTTAAACTAATTTTAATGTGTTTTACTTCTTTTTATTTTTATTTTAGTTTGTTTTCTATTATTTAATATTAACTTTCACTAGAGTTTTCCTTCTCAACTATTTTATAAAACCTTGTTTAGCAAATGAACTAAATTTCTATATATTCTTTCTTCCCCACACACATTTTCTCTCTCATCAACTTACAACTAAATTTTGGAGACAAAAAAAGTGTGCAAAACATAGGTGCAAATGTAGTATGACAAAAAAAACATTGGAGGATGAAGTTGCAAACCTTTTAGGCACCTCCGATTTGTATGTAATCACCAAAATAAATTCAATAGAAATTTTGGCATGACCTCCCCTCTTTTTTGAAGAAATTTTGAAGCTTGCTCGGGCAGCTGGAGGAGGAAGAAGACATATATATAGGGGTGGGACTTTAGTCCCGGTTGGTAGCACCAACCGGGGCTAAAGATCACCGGGATCATTAGTCCCGGTTGGTATTACCAACCGGGACTAAAGTTAAGATCTTTAGTCTCGGTTGGTAGCACCAACCGGGCCTAAAGATCACCGGGATCTTTAGTCCCGGTTGGTACTAAAGTTAAGATCTTTAGTCCCGGTTGGTGCTACCAACCGGGACTAAAGATCCCGGGGGGGCCTGACAGGTCCTGACAGCATTCGAACCGGGACTAAAGATGATCTTTAGTCCCGGTTGGTAACACAAACCGGGACTAAAGATCAAATATGCCCGTTACCCTTTTGAACCGGGACTAAAGATCATCTTTAGCCCCGGTTTTTATTGCATCCGGGACTATTGTGGAAATCGGCCGACCGACGAAAGATGGTTTCTCTACCAGTGAAAGATTAAAGTGTTTTATTTGTTGATATAGTAGAATTAGAGAATATGATTATAAATAGGGAGGGGAGGTGTTTTATTCAATGATATATAAGCATAACAAAATCTCAACTCAATCTTATATTTTATTCGGATTTTTTTCTAAAAAAAATCTCAATTTACATTAAAAATCAAAATTGATGAAAGAACATCAATTTACATATGAAAATTGAATTTAGATTTTCATTGCGGCTATGAAGGGCGACCTTATATCAATATGTATAACTGCCACTTCATCAACCCATGTGTTATCCATCACATCATTTGTCAGAATCTGAATTTTTGTCTGAAAAAATAGAGTAAAGAGGCTCTGTACACATTCGTTCATCATACCTGGAGCTTTTGTTTAACAAAAAAAAGAGGGGAAGTTATAGTTTTTGGTTTGGACTCACTCTCAGTAAGTGACAACTTTGATTTCCTCAACTATTGGTTCTTCCTGGAGTGCAGTAGTATATTCCTAAATGATTCATGCCCTATTTTGCAATACCTAGAATCATATCAGGACAAAACTTTTTTTTTGTAGGACTGAACACCATCAACTTCTTCAGATGACATGGACTGATGCATTATGAAAAGGAATAGGAACTTCCATCAACCAATTACTTTTTTTAGTTTTTGCCTACAGATACACCTTAGTGTATCGGTCTGGCAGCTTGGTATGCATGGCCACTGCCCACAGGATCCTGCACACCCCTGGTCTGTCTGTCAATTTGTAATTTATCAATATTGCATCAAGCCATTAGCACATTGGCACTGCAACCTGTGTAATCTTATTCTTCAGATTATTCATTGTAAGCATATTTATGTAATCTTATTCATATTCAGGAATTTTTGGTGGAGCAATTCAAGTCCATCTTTTTTTTTTCTTCATACTTCCACCATGTTTTTATATAATAATACTTCCTGCATATATAACTGCAGAAAGCACATAGCAATGTCTGGTGCTGATTTTAAATAATAAAAAAAAGCTTGTCCAAGAAACATGTCTATACCCAGCCTACAATGCTTTTAGATTCGGGACAGAATTCTGAGGCTACTAGACACTATCACGCTGTAAGCTGACAGCTTACCTTCTTCAGACCGAACTGAAGAGGTTCTAAGAGTAAGATTTTTCCTATAAGAAAAGCACACCGTGCTATGCTTCAGACGAGGAGTGGAGCTTCCAGTGCAGCGGCGGCAGCAGCAGCGGGACTAGCAGCACGAAGACGGCGAAGCACGAGGGGATCAGACCTGTAACGAACCTGTTCTCATCGTGTACAATGCGTCGTCTCGCCGCAGCTAATCAAGTATGCAAGAAGAGAGAAGCATAATTTCAACGATTAGTTAGTTTCTGATCATCAATTGCATCTGCAAACCAAAGCATCCTGAATTTCTGATAATCAATGCAGCGGAAGAATGCATTTTTACAGCAGGTACCTTCGTAGGATTCGAGGACGAACAGGGCGATTCCAGATGAATCTTGTCCAAGAAGCTCAGCGAGCCGTAGACGAAGGTGCAGCCGTTCAGGTCGTCTCCCACCAGCGCGCTCTCTAGCCCAATTGTGGTCAGCTGTTCATAAGTGTTCAAAAATCAGAACACATCACAGGATAAGCAGAACGCACACCATCCAATCTTCTTACCATGACAAGAGTGTTAGCAGCTCCGATGACCACGGCGAGAGGGTATATAAGGTTGTGCATCTGGCTCGGGAGTACGAAGACGGCGGCTCCGGCGATCACCCAGAGTATTGCTCCGATGGTGAGGAGTGACTTCAGGCGGCGGCTGTTCCACTTTATCTCCTGCATTGTTACTTGCAAGATATGTGAGAAAAATACTGAACTTGCTATGTTTTAGTCTAGAACAGCGGGTTAACTGACAGGAGTAACCTGGAGAACATCGGAGATGAGGAAGCTGCAGCAGAATATGATGGCGTATATCTGCATACATGCATGTCAAAAATCAGAGGTGTAATGATTAGAATTAGATGATTGGTACTCCTATCTTCTAGGTTAACCAAAGGGTTTTAAAACTCACAATTACTTAAGAGTATTCGTTCATTTTCAGATCTCTAGTGACGTAGAACGCGATGATAAATGCCATCTAATCAATGCATTAGTTGAAAACCATCTAAAGTAGAGTATCCATATATGGTTTGCTCCATTAGCTCAAAATAAATAACAACTTAAGAAAACATATTGGTTGGAATTGAAAACTTAAATAGACTAAACTCATATGTCATATGGAAGATACCACCTCATACTCGACTGAAGTAACTATATTTATACTAGGAGGAAGTTGGTTTAGGACTTCTCAAACCAACGGCATAAGAGCAATATAGAGAAGCCGGCACTTTTCTGCCGACTGCAAGGCCATCTGGCCTGGTGCATACATGCATGCAGCATGCTGTTAAATCCTGGTCTCTTTCGCGTTATTATTCCTTTAAGCAATCACAATCTCATTTAGCCGAGATCGACAATACAGTAGCAGCATGGCAGAGAGTCGGAGAGCACACAATTAGCTTCTATAATCCGTACTTAACACATGCCATTCATCACATTTCAGTTGTTGGCCGTGAGCTAGCTCCCACTTGCAGGATCACGCATTCACGCTGTAGAGTGGCAACAGTTTCTCTGTTTGGGACAAAGATGGTGTTGGCAACCAGCCAAGGAGTCAAGCCATCAAGGGCTCAAGCGGATATATGCATGAAGAGTCAACAGAGCAAAAGTGGCATGATACATACTGGTATTCTGGTAAGGTACTACCTAAAAAACTTCCACAAGTTCTTTTTTTTTTTGTCAAAGACTTTCAAATTTAATTGTAGTATAATTAAAGTGTAATTACATTGTAAACTTTATAGTTACAATGTAACTGATATATAACGAGTGTGTAAGTTGACAAGAAAAAACATATGAGGTGAGTTGCTAGCTCAGCAAGCTTACCTGTTTAACAGGTCGTAGGTTTGACTCCACCTTCGTACCCATGGCTGTGATTATTTTTTACTAACTTAGCATGAATCTTAGGGCAAATCGATGGTTAGAAATTTGAAAGTTTTGATTGAAGAAAAATGTCGCACTTTATGTAGCAATTCCATTCTGGTAAAGGATGCGCTTGGACATCTCTACGCAAAAATTAAATGTCGTTCAGTCCTACAGCCTTACCATTACCATTGAGTTCTGCAAACTATGTGGCTTAGAACTTAGGGTGTGTTTAGTTCCACGTCAAAATTGGAAGTTTGACTAAAATTGAAAGTTTGAAGAAAAAAGTTGGAAGTTTATGTGTGTAGAAAAGTTTTGGTGTGATAGAAAAGTTGGAAGTTTAAAGAAAAAGTTAGGAACTAAACAAGGGCTTTGTATAGTCATGAGACATTTAGATAACTTTTACAATCAGCTTATAGCCACGACATGCTGAGACTAACTTTGCATGAATCTTAGGGCAAATCAATGGTTAGAAATTTGAAAGTTTTGATTGAAGAAAACTGTCGCACTTTATGTAGCAATTCCATTAACTTTGCACGAATCTGGGCAAATCGATGGTTAGAAATTTGAAAGTTTTGATTGAAGAAAACTGTCGCACTTTATGTAGCAATTCCATTCTGGTAAAGGATGCGCTTGGACATCTCTACGCACAAATTAAATGTTATTCAGTCTTGCAGCCTTACCATATCTGCTCCTATTTGTTACCATTGAATCTGCAAACTATGTGGACATTTAGATAACTTTTACAATCAGCTTATAGCCACGAGATGCTGAGATATTGAAGTAACCCATATGAATAGAACGTTGTATTGTCAGTATCTACCTGGCCCCAGGCCGGGTTGCCCTTATCGTTTTTGGAGGGTTTACCACCATCCCGCGGTAGGGCGGTTACAGCGGTAACCGCTGAAACCCGGGCAAAATTTACCTCCAAAAATTTGAATTCAAAAATCGGTGGTTTCACGGTACGTTTTGGCGTGGTTATCGTGTGGTTTCTTGCGATAACCGCGATATTCGCACGATTATCGCTGGTTATGTAGCAGAACACATCAAATTAAATGTCAATAGAAAAAATTCGGAAAAACGCTTAAATGTGTGTAGAAATTGAAGATAATTGGAAGAATATATAGGATAGTTACAAATTTAACATTTGGGTATAAAATAAAAAATTCGACATGACCTTTTCTATATTATGGGCTTCGAAGCAATTCAACATTTTATAGCATAATAATTACAAATGAGCATTACTTGCACATGACTACCATATTTCACATGAGCAACAAATGACCCATTATCAATACAATAAATGTACATCACTAAACATGAGCATATCCATCCACCCAACAAATAACATATCAACTCTGCAAAACCAATTTCCGTATCACTAGCAAACCATATTTCACCTATTTCACAAATATTCATATCTCAACAAACATCAATATTTTACAATGTATTTGATCTAAACCTAATACTTTTTTTTTCCAATTTCTAAACTATTTTCGATTTTGCCATCAAATTTTGATTTGATAAAATTTGCTACAGGACAATCATGAAATATGGTCTTTGCTAAGGGACACTGCAAGAACGTGAATTTGTCCGAAGACATTGTAAAAATATGGTCTTTGCTGAGGGACACTGCAAGAACGTGAATTTGTCCGAGGACATTGTAAAAATGTGGTAATTTGCTGGTAGACACAATACGCAATATTTTATAATTTCTCGCTATTTCGGTGAGAGAAGTTTTGCAAAATGGTGGCTTTGTCCTTGGGACGAAAAATCTTTCCAGGGTTTAAGTTGTTTCATCTAGTATTTGACGTTGTCAATCCTCATCAATGCCATCCTTTTTCTAGTTTTGAAATATTTGTTTCGTTCCTAGATCAACAGTTATCTGTTGGTTGGAATTGGGTGGTCATCAAAGGCTAGCGGGTGCTACAGATTGAAGGCCGGCAGGACATTCACAAATCGGCGGCTGTGCCGGTCCGGCGCCGGGGGTGATGACGACTCGAATGCAGCGTGGATTGGACGTCCAAGGAGGATTCGTGCTCCCACTGGCTGGAGTTCATTTGGTGGCTGTGGGTGGCTGGAAGATCGTCCGCCAGCTACGCGTTTAAAGCAGATCGAAGGCCGATCATCTGCGGCGTGGTCAGGCGCTCGGGAGTGGAACACATCTAGCGACAACAGCTCGACACTTTCATCGTCGAACGCGGGATAGGTTACTGCCGAAGTGGTGCGCTCTGCCGCCGCGGATCGTGGTACCACCAACGTCGCTTCGCCTCTACCACCAAGGACCGCTCCGTCATCAGGCGGAGGCCCGAGGAAGCTCAACCTACTGGAGAGGAAGGCGGGGGGACAAGGGAGAAGAAGACGAGGGTAATATGGACATTTCATATGGTTTCTTTCTGAGAGAATATTATATTTTAATGCTCGTATAGTGTCTTTGATCATATTCACGTTCTTGCAGTGTCTTTTAGCCAAAACTGTTGAAAATTTGATAATAATTCGATATATTTTAATCCAAAATATTAAGACAATAAACATGACATACACAATGAGAAGCGATCTTGTGATAAGGCTAAACATAAACATGAGCATGATTAAGGTAAAATAAGCATAGACATCGTTGACATTCACATAGGATTGAAATCCTATGGATAACATTGTGAACATGTAAATAACAAGAAGAGATTCAAATAAAGTTAGAATCTTATACCCAAAAAATGGTGCAGAAGATGTTGAGGCATTCGTATTGCCTCCGTTGATGTTGTCTCCTCCGTTCTCTCCAGTAGAAGCCATGGTGAAGTAGAAGTAGAGGAAGATGCAACGTTGTCGTCAAAGAACAAAGAGCAGGAGCAGTCGCGCTTGAAGCGCTACCCAAAAACTTGATCGCCCGCCTACCCGTGCAAGTTCTCAAGCGGACGGAGTTACGGAGGCACCTGCTCATCCGGTACACCTGTGCGCGCAGGTGAATAGAACCGGGGAAGGATTCTGCAGCTCAGGAACAGAGGAGGAGGAACTCGAAGTGCAAGAGTCGGGAAGAAATTCTTCCCATCCTTCTGGTTGCTGCGGAGTATATATATGCTAGCGCGAGAGTAATGTTCGGAGTCATCAACCGCGGTGTTTAATTTCGCAACCGACACGCTCGTTAATACGGAATCAATTCATGGCATTTAATTCCGTAACCGACGGAATCAATTCACGGTGTTTAATTCTGTAACCAACGGAATCAATTCACGACGTTTATTTCCGTAACCGATGCGTTCATTGATATGAAATCAATTCTCCGTGTTTATTACCGTCCGTTACAAAACGAGAGAGCGCAGCAGCAGCTGCTGCTGTCTGCCTCGCCTCGCCTCGCCCCGCCTAGCTGTCCACGCACCATCTCAACTAGTCAACAGAGACTCTCCACTAGCTCCGTATTTAAGTTGAGACCTCTTCACCCGATTTTCAAGGTGGTATTATTACCCATAGCACTTAATGTGGGCCAATGGAATTTATTAGGATTTAATTGGGCCTAGCCCATTAATCTAACAAAAACCACTTTTTTTGTGTGTTCTGTAACAAATTTTGCCTTTTAATTTTTCTTACTCTATTTCAAAAATTTCTTTACCACCTGCCACTACAAATCAAGAACTACATCCATGAATTTTTAAAAAAAATTCAATCTTTTTCGGAATTTTCAGTTCGCTCAAATTTCATCCAAACCATACCACGATAAACCATTACCGTTCGCCGACGGTAAACGCGGTAACCACGGTTATCGCGTGATAAGGCAAACCCTGATTATCACCTTATCCTTTGAATCACCCCAACTGATACAATAAATGCAACCAATGTAATTAGAGATCATAAGAGTGTTGGAGTAATTTAGAGAAGAGAAGATGCTAATTAATTGTATACATGCATGCATGACTTGTATTATGAAACATTTTTAAAAAATAGTTGGACCTATATTTTGGAGGGAGTAGTAACTAGCGTCAATCTAGTACAAGTATTGGTGTGAGACGAGAGATATTGATTCGTTCAATAGCAATTATGTCACGCCCGGAATTTCTATCCAAAATTCCAAACGCTTACATGTGTGTGAACCCTCGTCCAGGAATCAGCCGAGGCACACAATAACAAATTGATAATAGAGTACAATTATTACTCTAATTAATAAGCGAATAAAATGTCTTTACAGAGGTAGATAGTTCCTCTCAATCAATAAAGATCTAAGCAGCAGAAAAATAAGATAAACGGCGCAGACGACGGCGACGCGACGGCGACCACAATGGCGACCTCCCTGAGCGACGGCGAAG